TCTTTGGCCTTGATTATAGCGATACATTCTCTCCAGTCGCTAAGATGGCGTCCGTCCGCCTATTTCTTGCCCTTGCTGCTGTTCGTCACTGGCCACTCCTTCAACTTGACATCAAAAATGCCTTTCTTCATGGTGATTTACAAGAAGAAGTTTACATGGAGCAACCACCTGGTTTTGTTGCTCAGGGGGAGTCTGGGAAGGTATGTCGTCTTCGAAAATCCTTATATGGTCTCAAGCAGTCTCCTCGAGCATGGTTCAGTCGCTTCAGTTCTGTTGTACAGGCGTTTGGCCTAATTCGCAGTAAAGTTGACCATTCTGTATTCTATAGGATTACATCTCCTAACAAGTGCATCTATTTGTTAGTCTATGTTGATGACATCATCCTCACCGGAAGTGATCAAGACGGAATCCATCAGTTAAAACAACATTTATTCAGTGCATTTCAAACAAAGGACCTTGGGAAGCTGCGTTACTTCTTGGGAATTGAGGTGGCGCAATCTAGACAGGGCATTTCTATCTGTCAAAGGAAGTATGCCTTGGATATCCTAGAGGAGACTGGTATGTTGCGGTGTAAACCAGTTGATACACCAATGGATCCTAATGTTAAGTTATTGCCCAGACAGGGGGAGCCGTTATCTGATCCTGGACGTTATCGAAGGCTGATTGGGAAGCTCAATTATCTTACTGTGACTAGGCCAGATATTTCTTTCGCTGTCAGTACGGCCAGTCAGTTCCTTGATTCCCCTTGTGATTCACATTGGGATGCTGCTGTGAGGATCCTCCGATACATCAAAGGAGCACCAGGAAAAGGTTTGTTGTATTCGGATCAGGGAAATACAGAAATTTGTGGTTACTCAGATGCCGATTGGGCAGGATCACCCTCGGACAGACGCTCTACTTCTGGTTATTGTGTCTTCTTCGGAGGAAACTTAATCTCATGGAAAAGCAAGAAACAACCTGTTGTTTCCCGATCTAGTGCAGAAGCTGAGTATCGTGCAATGGCAAATACTACCTGTGAGTTGATCTGGTTAAAGCAGTTGATTCAGGAGCTTCATCTTTGTGAACAGAAACAACCCATGACACTCATCTGTGATAATCAAGCTGCGCTACATATATCCTCTAATCCTGTTTTTCATGAGAGGACCAAACATATAGAGATTGATTGTCACTTCATTCGGGAAAAGATTCAGTCAGGAGAAATCAAGACAGCTTTTGTCAACTCGTCTAATCAACTAGCAGATGTTTTCACTAAAGCTCTTAGAGGTCCTCGGGTTGAATACATTTGTAACAAGCTTGGTGCTCATAATATATACGCACCAGCTTGAGGGGGAGTGTTAGAATATTAGATATGATATGATTAGATATGATTGGATTCTGTCTTATCCGTAAATAGTCTGACTGTATTCTGACTGTATTAGGATTAGGTTTGGATTAGGTTTGGGCCTTACACTTAAGCCCATTAGGGTCTCTATATATTGTAACTCCCTGACACAGATCAATACATAACGTATTCTTTTACATTTAACTAGCTCAAATAACGAACATGAATCCACCCGCACCTGAGAAACCCAATCCAAAGAATCCACCGAAACTGATCCAAAACTTGATTCGATCTAGAACCAAACCCAAAAACAATACAGAATTCAACCCAAAATTGAACACTTCACCCTCATCAAACCTTCACAACGAGGACGAACTTGGGAGAGCATTCCACATTTTTGACACCCATGGTGACAACCATGTCTCAGTCAACGAGCTCGATGGAGTTTTCCGAACACTTGAATCCAGTGTGCTGCTTGATCAGTGCATCATGGACAACCTCAAAACGAACCTCAACAAATCATCAGCAGCCGAGAGTTCACCATTTTTTGCCATTCTGAAACACAGTAGGGGCATTGGAGAAACGCAAGGTAGCAACCGAAAACATAGACTCATTCTAGGTCAGATGGAATTGGGTCAATTTGGGAGTCACGCCCAAGTTACTATCAAGTTTATTCAAGTCCAACACAATCGACAAAAAAAACCTAATTTTTGTTATAAATCCAGAGAGGCAAAGTGATGCACTGAAAGTTATGAGCAAGTGTTGGAAACTTATACTATCGATGCCATATTTCAAGCACCTCAGCTTGACATTAAAACCGTGACGGCTGGTTGTGGTTCAAAGTTGAAGTTTCAATTTGTTGCTTTACATGTTGGACCAGAATCAATTAGAGCACACTGAGATCCTATTTGTCCGGACAAGGGAAGAGAAAACTTTATCGCTATTAAGAAGGTCGTTGTTGTTTGCAATGAATTTAATCAGCTAGCCCCCCTCAAAAACATGAAAGAATATCGCTATTCAAGCCCACAATCAGGTTAAGGAATTTCCCCCAATATGTCACTAGTTGTAAATAGTGCAGTTGTTAGGAGCTGACCCATTTCGCCACCAAACCCCCCAAATAATGTTGGTACTAACAATTGCAAACGTGTTCCATCAACACGGTAACGTGTTCCATCAACACGGTCATCTTCCCCACTTATTATCCATTGGCAAAGGCCGCAAAAGAATGCTTGCACTGCCAGAAGAACGGATTCCATACTCAATTGTTTTAAATAACGATGATGCTCCTGCATTGGATTATGTTTCTAACGTAGACAATAATGATCTTTGGCTAAGATATGCCACAAACATGGCTGGCAGTTCTCAACAAATTATGTTAAGAGGTGATCATTCATCTTCAATTGCTTTATTTAAAAGTGAAGAGTCAAGTGTGTTTGGGGTTAAACCAAAAGAAAAGTACAAGAACCTAAAACGGATAGATCCGAAGGCTGGAGAAATGTTCAAAAGGTGTCTAACTTGGTAGTGGCATCAAGAGAGAACAAGTGTGCTTCCACGGAAGAATGTAGAGATGGTGTTCTGAGACAAAGGAGGACATTACGCAATTTTACTGCCACAAGGTTGTTGGTGCCAATGACATTTGAGAACATTGGAAATATAGGAACTGCAAACAACTAAGGAGTGCAAGACTAGGATCTAATAAGAATCAAAACAAGGAAGGTTGCCACCAAATAGGAGATTTATTGATCATAAGGCCTACGCACGTCAAAGCCCTACTACTATTAATACAGCAACAAATTTTTATGGGTCAGAAGATGGAAATGAAAGCTGGTGTCTCCTGTAAAGAATGCCATCAATTCTGCTTGTGCTTTTCCAACACATTCAGGCAGCAAATGGGACCTTTCTTCAATTTGATATTTGAGTAGGATATTACTCCTGGAAGCATGCCTTCGTTTTTAAAGTCTATATTGGAGGAAGAATTCATTAAGGTATTTAAGCTTGTTGAAAAAGATATCTTCCCAGAAGAGGGGATCATTAAAATTTTGCAATTGCTAAGCCATGTTGATCGAGTGTTGGAAAATGATGATGTCATTAAGAAGGGCAATGGGACTCCAATGGAAATGCTTATGCTTCAATCATAAGTTGGCCCTTACATTCAAGCAGTGGTAACCGGGGAAGGGAACCCTCACCTTGAGTACAAGATGAATCTTTTAGGGGAGAGCAATGATAGGAAAACACTCATTATGCGAATGTACACTAGGAGAGGCCACAACGGATTCGCCCCCGTGTACTAATCATGCATGACCCATTAGTGGGAGAGGTGGTCACTAACACATTGAGGGTCAGAGAGAGAGCTAAATATGGAGAGGAAGGGGCATATTAGGTAGTTTTATAATTCTTCTCATACATATGCCTCTGAAACAGTTACAATATCAGATAGCGGAATGAAATTTTACCCTTATGATTGTCCGACTATTGTAATCTTTATTCTGGTACTCTATCAGTCTCCTTAGTTTTCTTGTGGTTTGTAACTTCCAAATATTGTTCTTGATAAACATGGAGGGTAAGTTTTAGTTGTTACTTTGTAGTCATTCCAACAATGCTCATCTCTCCGTCCAGCATCCCTGAGTTGCCCTTCCAGCCATGTTTTATGAAGCCCAAATTATATTGTTAGTTTTCCTTTTTAAGGGAGTTTATTCGTAACAAGTTTAAGCTTAATAAGCTTTAGTTTAAGGGAAAGTGTTAGAATATCTAGAAGATAACATAGAATATTTTGATTATATCTTATAATAATTTAGAGTTTCCTAGATCATTGCTTAGGATTGGTTTCTATATTGCCTTATATTACATGATTTGTTTCCTTATTTTAGGATTCTACTATTTGTATAAAATAGGGATTAGTATTTTGTAGTTTGTATCCCATCATTCCAATAATATCAATATTATTTCACTATTTCAAGTATTTGTTTCTCTCCCTTTACACCTAAATTTTTCTAATTTCAACAAAACTAAATTTTAAACATTTTTCTAATAGAAAAAAAAATAGTATTAGGACAAAGGAAATACAATTGGGGTCTGGCAGGAGGGACAAAATCCTCTGAAACATGAAAAACAGACAAAAACAAGGAAGAATGTAACAACGAAGCCCAGTCTCTTTGCATACAGAAATAGCACCTCTCTTGAAACAGATTTGGGCTGAACACCAAAAGAGAAGTCAAAAATGACAGACGTAGTGGTAAACTAAAATGTATCAAATCATGAATCACATTTCACGGGAAACAAATTATACAGCTATACTCATATTTTGACAAATGAAACCTCATATAGGCAACAGTGCTGCTTCTAATGTTCTACAAATTCTACTTACGCACTACGCTATGAACAAGTAAAAACAGATAGTAATTCTCTGAAATTAAAGGCCACAGTTTTACTGTTGTGAATTTCATCCTATAATTTTCTCCAACCTCTTTTCATCACATTGAATTCCACATCGTTCCTATACATAGGATAGGTCGAGTAAGTAGGCCTTTTCTTTCAACATCCATGGTCCACATGAAAGCATTGGCTGTTCTTATAATTTCTACCCTGGTTATTTAACATGCCTCATTTTAGAGAAAAAAATAGTTTGGAAGCAGGATGAAGTAGCTGAAAGTACTTAGATTGCAGATTTGCAATCACCAACCTTCAGCTGATGTCCAAGATGACGATGATGTAAAACTCAGGCATGCACCACATGACTCGCACGCGATTTTGTCTAAACCAATATTCATCCAACCTTTCCGAGCACAAGCCAATGAACTGATGATCTGGAAGAAATTAAAAAGGATATGTGATCCCTGGAGATTACCTCATATATTCTTAGAACATTTGCAGTAGCATGTTTAATATATCTTCGAATAACACATTACACATGCTCAATAGCTGAAGTTTATGCCTTATAGATCAAGATAATTTCCTTGATTGTGATAAAAAAAAATTCTGTAGAGCAATAAATAGGGAAATCACATTCAGAACACAAAAAATCGGATCCAATACAGTGCCAAGCTTTCAATTGCAGCAAATGCAAATGATATCTTTTCTCTATTTGTTAGCTACTAAACTGATCATTGCTCAAAAATAATATAAGCAGATCAGAAAACCAGCTTGTAAAAAAATCTTGAGAATTAAGCATTCAAACAATTATGGGTCTTTCAAAAATTCATAGAAGTAAATACAGCCATGTCAAGAAAGTAATTACAGAATACAGATTAAAAATAGAATGCCAGGATTCTTTTTTTTTTTTTTTCAAAATAGATATAAACAAATATTATTTCGACAGGCAAAAAGAATCACAGAAGACAAAAAATCTCTTTATGTTTTGATAGTGAACGAAATTTAAGAGACAAAAGAGGGAAAGTAAAACTAGAGGAAGTATAGGATATCCTAAAGAACATAGAAGTCAGGATAAAAACAAAATTCAACATAAAAAGAGTCAAGAATGCAGCAGGCTGCCCAGTCTCTCTAAATATCAGAGCAGAAATGGCCACTCCTTTAAACAAAAACCATGAGCAAAACACCAAAGAGAAACCATTAACATAATCCTATCCCATTACAAGTTACATACAGGCAAAGTGACACACTTAAAGATGCAAGGGTTCCTCTCCACCCAAATGTACAAAAGAAACGAATAAACTGCATATGGCCACAGAAATTTAGCATCCATTATTTTATTTTTATTTTTGGGTTTGCGGAGGCCCAACAACAAAGCTCAGGCCCCCAAATGGAGCTGGATGGAGGGGAAGTGGGGAGGGAGAGCGCAATGAGATATAACAGGAACACCCAGTGCATATGACTGGGCATTGGGAGAGCAGAGAGAGAACAATTTTACCCCAAGGTAATAGAAACCCTAAAAAAAATTAATGGGAATATTATGCAACGAAAAGCCTATATTGTAGAAACATTCTCCACCAATATGCCCTCACAAAACTTGATAGTTTATACATGTACTATCTCCCAAACAGAAGAAACCAGTTTTCCAAAATAACATACCTGAGGAATAAACTTTCACAGGCTAACATGAGTTACAGGATGTGTTACCAAACATAAAAAAATTTCAAGAAACTTACTGATTTAATTGCAGAAAATAAATGACATGATTTCAACCATATATGCTCCGAAAGTGAGCAAAACTGCCAAAACAAAATCTGAAACAGCTGCAGGATGTGATAGACATGCAGGATGGGGTAGGGCTATTGGCATTCCCAATTGCTTGACACAATCTCCAGTAATTACTTTTAATTGCAATCACTGATCTCGGATTCAAGAGAAGACATGTAAGTATGGATGAATATAATGGAAGCAGAGAGAAACAGTGTAACATCCCGGTGGCTGACGAGGGCAGGGAGTGATCGTCGGTGCAAAGAGGCACAGACAAGGAAGGGGTACATGAATGAATCCAATACACACCCAAAAGAGAGGGATTTCAAAGATTGTACGTGTATAGGACTCTACAGTTGGGGATAGCTTATAAGAATTAATTGGTACTACCTAGAGTACCAAGATGCATCTACTTTTCGGTAACCTAAAATGGAAGAACTCCATAGTTAAGCGTGCTTGACTTGGAGCAATTATGGGATGGGTGACCTCCTGGGAAGTATGTGAGTGAGGACAAAGCACGCTGAAATGTCTCGTGTTAGTTTGTAGGGACAGTCATTAATTCTTGAAGTTGTCGGGCGTTACAAGTGGTATCAGAGCAGGGCCACTCTCCTAGTACGTTGTGGTTCAAGGACGGACCAGGCGGAAGCTGGTGAGCATATAACATCCCGGTGGTTGACGAGGGCGGGGAGTAATCGCCGGTGCAAAGAGGCACGGATAAGGAGCGACTACTGGCAGGCTTCCAACAGAGGGGTACATGAATGAATCGAATATACACCCGAAAAAGAGGGATTCCAAAGACTGTACATGTATAGGACTCTACAGTTAGGGATAACTTATAAGAATTAATTGGTACTACCTAGACTAACAAGATGCATATACTTTTCGATAGCCTAGAATGGAAGAACTTCATAGTTAAGCGTGCTTAACTTGGAGCAATTATGGGAAGTTTTCCCGGGAAGTGTGTGAGAGAGGACAAAGCACGTCAAAAAGTCTCGTGTTAGTTTGAGAGGATAATCATTGATTCTTGCAGCGGCCGGGCATTACAAACAGCATGGGAGCATGTTGAAGACAAGGTAACTTACTATAAGTCAAGAAATTAAGTGATGAATGGAGAAAGAATGTTAAATATTACACACGAAAAGTAAAGTCAGTTCTGTTGAATGAAGCAAGAGCAAATGTTAGATTGCTTCAAACACTTATAACACTAGAAGGCATATCTCAACATAGAGAGACAAAGCTGCAGCAAAAGGAATAAAGTATGAGAAAACATAATGGAAGGATTTTAAGCCATAGTTATCAAATGCGGATTGCGGCATGTCGCGGCCAACCCCGAAAAACGCTATAGCAGGTTGCGGTTGCGGAAATAACGAAATAGATATATGACAGAAATAATGACAAAAAGAAACATTTTTTAAAGGCATAGATAGCAGAAGTGACAGAGAGACACGGATAGGCTACAAAACCCTTAAATCTTTTCTATTACACATTTAAATTTAGGACAAAATTGACATTTTTCCTTATGATAATATGGCCGCAAATGCGATTGCAATCGCCGCTATTGCGTTCTGGTACTGCGCGGCGCTGTTTCTTGCGGCGAGGCACCGCAACGCCCATACGGCGCGGCTCGCAGCGCTATTGCGGCGCAATTAACTACTATGTTTTAAGCTGAAAATAGTATGCAATCTAGGCTAAGGTTTCTGCATAAGAAAAGGTTCTTTCTTTACCCACTTCCAACCAGAAAACTTGGAGATTCAAATTGTTGATTTCAAGCTATACTTGTCACTTGTCAAAAGAAAATAGTAAAAAACAGCAGCACAGTGAATTAGATTACAGGCTGTAAGAAGAAAGAAACAAGATTTTTTAATCATGGTAAAAAAATGATACAAAATAATGATTTCATTTAGATTGTATAACACTTTTAGTTCCTATAATAAGAATAAACAGAAACTATCACAAGGCTAATCATTATTAGCTTAAGACAAGCAGTATGCATTGTTGCCTTCAGACAAATAACTAATTGTCCTCTAAGCCTAGGGAATATCATTATGAAGACATTGGAAGCAAAAATGACTGTGTAACATACTGCTGACAAGGAAAAGGAGGAGTAAAATGTACATACAACATGTATATAAGTGTGAGTTATGGCTACAAGAGATTTATGTAAAAGAATAGACAGTTCAAACCTGAGGCTTCCCAAGCCAATTTGAAGGAATAAATGTAGCCAAACGCCTTAATAAATCTCCCCTTTCCCAAGGTCTACAAGAGGATCTTGATGAACCAAAAGTAGAACCACCAGCACTTGTGCTCAAGGAAGTCCATGGTGGTTGTGAACCAACACATGAGAGAGAAGCCGCTTTAGAGCCTTGTCCATGACTCGACCCATCTATGCTGCCAACATTAATTGGAACAGCTGGGGAAGATGCCCCAGCAGAACTGATAAAATGCACGAATAATTAGTCATTTGAGAAAGTTATTCAAATGAACAAAATCTACACAAGACAATTGAATGTTCTATAAAAAAACAACAAATTACCATCACCAGCCATACATCAGACGTGCATTAAGTTTAAATCCATAGAACTTTAAGCAACTTTTTGTTTTACGCCAAGGAGATGTAATACCGTGAGGTTCTAGCCTCTAGTGTGCGGTAGAGAGAACCGGTGAGGCACCCAAAGGAAATATTTGGTAGGAAAGCTTAGGAGCCTAAGCTTCAATGCTTTATCCTTCATGTCTATGGAACAGTAAAATGCATCATTTTCTCTAGTGGGTACTCTCTGGTTAATATGGAGGAAATAGTTCATGGTAATAACAAAAGGATAGGAGGGTTTGAGGTAAGTGGAAGAAGATGAGGAAGATGAAAAAGAAGAGATTGACAAAATGGTAGAAGTGAAAGTGATCATGGCACACACTAACCAAGGCTATTCCACCAATGGATACTCCTTACCAAGGTGCTGAAGCCATGGTGGAGTTGTCCCTAACCTAAAAAAAATATACCATGCCACTGAAAGCATAGTTCTCTCACATGACTCAAACTGTGGGAAAGTCAGCAGAGAGTTCTGTAGGAATAGGAGTCAACAAGTTTGTAAAATCAAAAAATAAAAATAAAAAATCTATCCAAGCTTAGACATTCGTGATTGACTTAATTTATGGAAAGCTATAGACGAGCATAAACTTTATTAAAAAAAACTAAGGCCCCTCATGTTTGCACTTCCGTAAGTATGCATAATATCTATGTCTATGAAGAAAGGGACCCAAAAAAGGGCCAAAAAATTACACTTCGACCTACAATAAGAAGATTCAGGGGTAGGAAGTGTTCTTTAGACATGAACCACGTCGAACAAGACAAATTCAATAAAAGGACAAATATGCAAAAGCATGAAATTACATAGTAAGTAAGGGCATATGCACAACAATTAAAAAGCAAACGAATAAGTAACAAAAAGCCGACAGACAATGGTGTCAGTCAGGTACGCGACGCGTATATCCACTTAGCACAAACAGCACGACACCTTTTTTTTCCATTAGATCCAATTCTCAAGCAGCAGCAGCAACAATATTAATATATTTTGCAATCCAATTCAAGTTTAAATCACAGCTACTCGGCGAAACCGAGCAAATTCAAAGCAACGGTTACATAAACCCTAGAGATTTGACCCAAAATGAAACCCTAAATTGAGAAGAATTCAACGCTTGCATGGAAGTGAGAGAGAGAACGTTACCTGGCAGCAGGGGTAGGATCAATGGTGCCTCCGGAGCTGATAACCTCTTCCCTCATCTCACTCTCTCTCTCTGTCTCTCTCTCTCTCTAACTTTCTCAGTTTCCGAAGCAAATAAAATTCATGAGTGGGAAGAGTAAAATAGCAGCTTCGCTGATTTAAGCGAGTGTCGGAGCGTGGCCCTCACTGCGAATACGATAAAGTGGTGGGTATTTTTTATATATCAGAATCAGACTGTATATCAGACATCAGTGATGAATAAAAAAAGTTATGCAAAATTCGAATATTCCTGTGTGTGTTCTTTTTTTAAAGTAACATGCTAGTAAAATATTCGAGTAATTTTTAAGTGTTAAGTAGGTTTAAATTAAAAAATAATAACTAAAACAGCTATAATTTGTTTTGGAAGTAAAGGAATAATAATTAAACAATTTTACTTGAATGTATTTTTTAGCATGTATAAAATTTCTTTTTTTTTGGATGTACAAAATTCTTTTGATTGGAATGCGGTTGTGTTTTTTTTTATTCCGATGCATCGAAAATATTGTGACAATTTTAATTGATTTATAAATTTGACTTTTGAATTTTTATACCTAGTTTCATCAACATTTTCTTCAATTCTACATTATTGAACGTAGTAACAAAGTTACTTCCGATGTGACGTGGGCAAAACATGTGATAGGCAAATGGAGACTGTCAACTAGCATGATCTTTGACAGCCCTTATAATGTTGGGGTGATAATCAGATATTAGAGAAATACCTCGCTTATGTGTCACATGAAAACGTAGAAAGCTAAGAAACCACGACCAATGTTCCAACTTCTCACCTAGAAGAATAACAGCAAAGGCAATTGACAACACATATCCATCTTCATCTTGCGACGTCGCAATAAAAAAAGTTTCTTTGTATTTTCTATACAGATTAGTGCCATCAATTTGAAGTATTAACTTACAGTATTTGAAGACCTCAATGCATAAGTGAAATGTCCAAAAACCCTATGAAAGATGGCCTTGTCAATGTAAAATCGACATTCGTCAAAACATTGATGTGTATCAAGTTTGAAGACAGAACCCACATTACACTACATCGTGTACATCAGCCAATTGGGCAAGAATGCATATGATTTGTCCGAGTCACCAAATAACTTCACAATGCCCTTTATTTTTTCCTTTCGGGCTTTCTTTTAGGTTATTTTAAATCCAAACAGACGTTGTACCCTCTCTTGTGTCAGAACTAGTTTTAAAGTTGGATCTTCCTTAAACATACCTATAAAAAACAAAGCAAGTTCTCAATATTGTCAATAAATATTTTTCACAAAATAAATAACATAAATAAACCATATGTAACTGCACATCATACAAAACATACTCATAATGGCTACACATATAATGTAACACCCCGTTCTAGAACCGATTTGTTATTATTACGTATGATATTAAGCGCAGTTACAATCACAACAGTAAATTAAAACACGGATAAATTCTTCTAAAACTATACTATTTTCTAATTAAAACATTTTTGTATTTATAAACAATTCAAAATGTAATTATAACTCATACAAATTACGGAAACATCCAATCTCGCTTAAATATATCATACCACAATGAAGTTCTCATAAACAACATGGCTTCACACGACAATGATGATAGTTAATCACACAAGGTGATAATCTCCTACCAACATCGTTCAAACAAAACGGACAGAACCCCGTTTGTTTTTCGGACATCTAGAGATAATTCACACGAGATATCTCAACCTGATAAACAGTTCAATAAATACTAACTATCACATATACACGTAATATTATGATTTACAATCCTCCAATGAATCATTTACATTATAGATCATTTGACAAAAGAAATGCATAAATCATATCAACATATACATACTCTCTACATCATGCCTATCAGTGTAACAAACGTGACATGGACATCTCTCTTGCTCACCAAATACCAAGATATTAGAAGAGACATATGTGTGTGTGTGTGTGTGTGTGTGTGTGTGTGTGTGTGTATCAAAATGCAAATCCTACAACTATGCAATGTCATGGCAACTAGCCCTACCTCGTACCCTGTTATGTTCTTACACTGTCAGTACATGCACCTGAAATTCCCATAATGCGGGGTGAGATATACACATATATCTCAGTAAACCAAGGGCTCTTGGAGATTCCTTCACTCCCAAGTTCACTCCCAAGATAGAAGCTAAACCAAAGAGTCTTACATTTGCTTAGCTGAAAATAGCATTCACATCATCAAAATTTAATTATAACTTTTTTCATTTTAAAAAATTATAAATTGACTGGGATATTGGGTTAATTGATCACCAGTTAAACCAAATTTATCAAAGTCATTGTAACATAGTGGTAAGTGTTGTTGGCACACGCCAACACGTCATGGATCAATCCTATAGAGAGCAAAACTTAAAATATTTTATTAAAACTTTAAAAATTGATTTATTTGAAAAATCGATACTGATTGGACAACAAGTTATACCTGGTTCGCTAGGTTGATTGCATAACTGGTGCCCTGACTAATTTGAACTGATCCATGGTTTGGTTCCCGGATAAACCGATCGGCTGACCGTTTGGGTCTAGATTTGATAACAATGTTGTACATTAAAAAAAAAAAAAAAACTTGGAGTGATGGGCCGGCAAAAAATTAAAATAATGTAATTAATTAAAATAATTACGCATTTAATGTTGTTTTGTTAAAAATTACACATCTGTTGCACAATGAGACGCCCCCTTTGGGCGTCACATGTGACGCCCAAAGGGGGCGTCTCATGTGCAACTTATATATACCCCACTTTCCTTTTTTCACTCCTTACTCATTTACCTCTCTAACCTCTCTCCAACCTCTCTCTAACCGCGGTTCGTAGCGAAGCTTTGCCAACGTAGGTAAGGTCATAATACCTCATATGTATACATTTAAATTACAGTGCTAGTTAGTAATACATGTTGGGATTGATTGTATATTAGAGACTTGGAACATTAGGATAGTCACTTGGAAATTTTGTGGCATGCTATGAATGTTGTAATGATATAGTAATTTTATTATTACGTAGTTATTATTATTAATTTTTAATTATGCATTAGGGTTTAGCATATTAATTAGTGATTTATAAATAGTGTTAGGGACATCGTAAATTTCGTATGTATGATGTTATTAATGCGGGAGTGCATAACTTTGTAGTTAGTTAGGTGTGATGATTAGTACGTATTGGACAAGTTGGTAGTGACCTAGGGTTAAGTATTCAGTTGTATCGCTCTGTAGGCCTTGTTACAGAGAGCCATGACAGTGGGGAGACTCTAGCCACGGATTCTCACAGTCAGGGACCCACCCCTTTTGATGTGCCAGGCAGCAATGCAGGACCATCAGATGATTTCATCCGTGCGGCGATGGATGACTTCCACACTCCACCTCCACAGGTGCATCCGGGTGACCTAGTCTGGGAAAGACGTATACTGCCAGATAGGGATGCACGACATAGGCCATGACCACCGTGGTCGTAGTTTCATTGCCATTTTGAGTATTCACTATGTTGTGGACTGTTTCATATTGTTATTATTTTGTTATTTTGTATTAGTTATGAGTGTAGCATGTTGTTATTTTGTGGACGCTACATTATTATATTATTTGGACTATTCACTATGCGTTATTATTTATGTTTTGGTTGTCGTCCTTTGCGCATTTATATTACGGTAACTAACAGCATCAGTTAATTAATAATACAAGAATAAAAACATACATAAACGGAAAGTAAAAAGTCCAACATAACGGACATTACAATTCATGCAATAACATAACCAACAGCAAAATAATGACATAATATGCAAATCAGTCGTTTCTCCCACGACTTGGACATCGCCGACGATTATGGCCGCGTTCCTTGCAAAGTCCACACCTGATACGGCTCTGGCTTGTCTCAACTTCATCCATCTCGTTGCGGATGCGAGTTGACTTTGGACGACCTTTTTCACGCAACATAGTAGAATCAGGAATAATCTTTGCACCACTAATTTTAGGTATTGCTTCCTCGTTTCTGATTGGCTCCCACGGAAAAGAATAAGCCTCGACCAAGTTAGTTATCAAGAAGACGTCGTCAACGTAAGTGAACGCACTCTGCCTAACACTTAACGCAGCAGCAACGACGTGACTACACGGATACTTAAAGGCCTTAAACTTTCCACACTGACAGTATCGCAAAGATAGGTTGACAGAATATGAACGCTCCCAACCTGCGTCAACCTCGAATACAGTATGTTCAACATTGTATGCACGAACGTGGTGGCCTGTTGCATCTACCTGGTTCTTCTTGACCAATTCAACAACATGTTTGGAGTGACGATGAGCTGATTGAAGTTGTGCAAGAGCATTTGTTCCTCTCTCAACAAAATATGCAACCAATCTGCTATATGTATGCTTAACCAATGTTGTTATAGGCATATTTTTGGCCCCCTTCAAAACCCTATTGACAGATTCAACCAAATTTGTTGTCATATGATCGTACCTCTGTCCTTCAATATCGTAGGCACACGACCACTTTTCCTTAGGAATCGCATCAATCCACTCAGCAATTTGAGGACTACTTTCACGGAAACTCGCAAGATTCCTTTCAAAATTAACCATTGCTGGAGTATAACCTGCACAAATTGGACATGAACGAATTAAACATAAATTGACAGTCATAATGGAAAGAAATAATTACGCATTAAGTCAATGAGTATACCAAAATTCTTTAACATCCGCTTCAAATCTTCATTCCGAAACTTTCGATTGAAGTTGCTTGCAATATGACGAATACAGAATACGTGATACGCATTTGGCGGCTGCCAAGTAGGGTTATTTTCCACAGCAGATATTATGCTTCGATGCCGATCGGATATCAAACATGTGTTTGACATCGTAGTGACATGAGCACGAATATTAACGAGAAAATAATCCCATGCTTCCAAAGTTTCGCCTTCTACGATGGCAAATGCGATCGGTAAACATTCATTATTACCATCTTGGGCTATGGCCACCAACAATTTCCCTTTGTACTTTCCATATAAATGTGATCCATCAATTTGTATGACGGGTTTGGCAAATTTGAACACCTC